TGAAACATTGTTTTGAACAGCTTGCAAAGGAGCAAAATTATCTGCAAGGCTATTCCACCCACTACACAGATATAATCAGTGATTTATCACTACCAGCAGAGAAGCGGAGAGGAGGGTTGCTAGTTTTTCTCGTTGACCCTTGCTGCTGTGCCTTTAAAGGCAGCTTGATCTGCTGGCATTAGCAAATGATTGTATTTTTATCTCCAGGTCTTGAAAAGCTCCACCTGCTAATTCTTGCAGAGCCAGCAGCTGTTAAAAGCATAGGTTAGCAAGTTAGGCTGGGGTATGTTTCAGGCCAGTGGATGAGGCTCTAGGCCACTAGGCCAGTGTTTGGTATAAGGCACCTTTCTGTATTCCCCAAAGCTTCCCCTGCTATATTTGATTTTATTTTTTTTTACTAGATTTAGTGCATTGTACCTAAAATACAGAGGGACGCGGGTGGTGCTGTGGATTAAACCACAGAGCCTAGGACTTGCCGATCAGAAGGTCAGCGGTTCGAATCCCCGCAACGGGGTGAGCTCCCGTTGCTCGGTCCCTGTTCCTGCCAACCTAGCAGTTCGAAAGCACGTCAAAGTGCAAGTAGATAAATAGGTACCACTCTGGCGGGAAGGTAAACGGCGTTTCCGTGCGCTGCTCTGGTTCGCCAGAAGCGGCTTAGTCATGCTGGCCACATGACCCGGAAGCTGTATGCCGGCTCCCTTGGCCAATAAAGCAAGATGAGTGCCGCAACCCCAGAGTTGGCCACGCATGGACCTAATGGTCAGGGGTCCCTTTACCTTTACCTTACCCAAAATACAAATGCTTTAAATACACACACTGTTTAGGAAGAAAAGTGAAAGATTACACAAACAGCTGGATAGTACTTTGGAGACAATATTGATTCCAATACATAACAAATTGGAGCCACTTACCCGCCAAATTTGCTGATCGGCATATTCTCTGTCCTCTGCAACCAGCTTCAGCAAATTTATCTTTCCAGCACGTCCATCAATTTCAATAACAGCTCCCGTAATGCGGGAGAGTATTGGGGGGGGGGTTCCCCAAAAAAGCATATTCATGTGCATTATGCAGATGTTAGCAAGTCTGATATCAGAGTGTTAGAATTACTGGCAACATTTTCCTTTGTATATGGCAGTGTTTAGGTTTGTAGGGGGCTACATCTTATGATGCAAATGCCACAAACAAATATATATAACTCGCACATTTGGGGTGGGCGAATTCCTGCAAAGTTCTGATGTGCAGAACTCTCCAAACGCAAGCGTGCCAGCCATGAGCACTTTGTTACAGCCGTAAAGCAAAAGGCATTTCTCTGCATTTAAAAGGGGAAATTGGCAGGATGCAATATCAACAGCTCGCTTGCGCTCTCCAAAGTGCCTCGGACTTACATCAATCTCCACCCACACAGGCCTTGAAGACAGCAGAGTTCTTGGGTAAACATGGGGAATATCGCAGTGGGAACTGTTTGCTTCTCAGTTCAGCCCCGTCTGCTCTAATGAGGCACTTAAAAAATAATAATACCGGAGCTGTAAAATGTAGCCATCAGGAAGAAATGAGCTCAGTGGTGGAGATACTGATGAACAAGGTCCCAAGTCCTATCGCAGGCATTTCCAGGAGCTCCGGGAATTTCTCCTGTCCAAAATGTTGAGCCAATGCCAGTCAGTGAAGAGCAGGGATGGAGAACATTTTTTTGAAGCTAAGGGCCCCCTTCCCTTCCGGGCCAACTTCTGAGGGCCACATGGCAGTGGTGGGTGGAGACAGAAAGGAAAGTGGCTGGAGCCTTTGAAATCGCCTCCAGCGGTTAATTAACGACCTTGAGCCTTTGATGAGGCTCCGAGGCATATCCTCCCAGGAGAGGATCAAAACAGCATGCGGAAGTGATGAGATTTATGGCTACATTGCTTTATTTATTTTCTTTACTTTATTTTCTAGCTACGCAGACAGCTAAGAAATATACATCCTCTGTCTGAGAGCAGATAGCAACTGAACAAGGGAACGAAGGAAACAGGAATCAGTAACGTCACATCCGTCTCTAGTCTCCCGTGAGACTTCCAATAGCCTGGACTGGAATGTAAACACAGTCCTGTGACTCCACGCAGCTGCTCAGTGAGAAACAGAAACTAACACTTCTGAGGGCCACATGGCAGTGGTGAGTGGAGACAGAAAGGAAAGTGGCTGGACCTTATCAATCTAATTTTGATCTTTGCACAGTAAGCCAGCTTCTACAAACCATCACCTTCTGCTCTCTGTTCTCCAGGAAGGCAAGCAGGAGTTATCATCAGAGGATACGTTCCAGCCAAGCAAAAACACTCAAGAAATAAGATGTGAAGCAAGGCCGGTGAACAGCGTGGCTTCAGGAAGAAAAGGTGTGGTTTGGGGAAACTCATGAGGGCCAGACAGACAAGCCTGGAGGGCCACTCTCCAACATTCCTCCGATGGAAATAGGGATATCCTATTAATAATAATAATGATAATAATAATAATAATTTATTATTTATACCCAGCCCATCTGGCTGGGTTTCCCCAGCCACTCTGGGCGGCTTCCAACAAAACTCTAAAATACAGTAACCTATTAAAAATTAAAAGCTTCCCTAAACAGGGCTGCCTTCAGATGTCTTCTAAAAGTTTGGTAGTTATTTTTCTCTTTGAAATCTGGTGGGAGGGCGTTCCACAGGGCAGGTGCCACTACCGAGAAGGCCCTCTGCCTGGTTCCCTGTAACTTGGCTTCTCGCAACGAGGGAACCACCAGAAGGCCCTCGGCGCTGGACCTCAGTATCCGGGGAGAGGTTGTTGTTGTTGTTATTAAAGTCTTACCTTGGTTGTTGAACACCTTGGTACCCGTATGTTTCAGCACCCGAATGACCAAAACCCGGAAGTCGGTGTTCCAGTTTTCAAACTTTTTTTGAAAGCTGAATGTCCGATGAGGCTTCCATGGCTTCCGATTGGCTGCAAGAGCTTCCTGTAGCCAATCAGAAGCAGCACTTTGGTTTCCGAAGGTTTTGGAAGTCGAATGGACTTCTGGAACGGATTCCATTCAACTACCTAGGTACGACTGTAATAATAATAATAATAATAATAATAATAATAATAATAATAATATCCCACCCATCTGACTGGGTTGCCCCAGCCAATCCAGTCTGGGCGCCTTCCAACATATATAAAAACATAATAAAACATTACACATTAAAAAAAAACTTCCCTATACAGGGCTGCCTTCAGATGCATAGTTCCTTATCTCCTTGGCTCGGGGCGTCGCTAACTCCACACCCTCCAACATTTCGCCAATGAAAATAGGGACATCCCAATGAAAAGCGGGACATTCCTGGATCAAATCAGAAACTGGGACAGCTTTTGTATATCCAGGACTGTCCCTGGAAAATAGGAACACTTGGGGGGTCTGCATTTGAGCCCCACCTCATGTGGGGACAATGCTGAAATAGATGCTCATGGTTGAATGGGTACAAATTGGCTTCCTGTGTCCCTATGTTCCAAAGGTTTTTAGACTCTAGATACTGGAGATGACCAGTCTACAAAGCAGGAATGCCTGATGGGCTGTCAATGAAGCACTCTGTTTATCTAGGGCAGTTCCAATTTTCTGTTAAAGGTAAAGGTAAAGGTACCCCTGCCCGTACGGGCCAGTCTTGACAGACTCTAGGGTTGTGCGCCCATCTCACTCTATAGGCCGGGGCTGTCCGGAGACACTTCCAGGTCACGTGGCCAGCGTGACGAAGCTACTCTGGCGAGCCAGAGCCGCACACAGGAACGCCGTTTACCTTCCCGCTAGTAAGCGGTCCCTATTTATCTACTTGCACCCGAGGGTGCTTTCGAACTGCTAGGTTGGCAGGCGCTGGGACCGAGCAACGGGAGCGCACCCCGCCACGGGGATTCAAACCGCCGACCATATGATCGGCAAGTCCTAGGCGCTGAGGTTTTACCCACAGCGCCACCCGCGTCCCATAATTTTCTGTTAGTCCTCCCTATTTATTTAAGAGACCTTGTATGCCACTTGATTGTAAATAAAACCTCTAAGACGTGGTTTGCAAAATAAAAATAAAAAATAGAATTCATACGTTAAATAAAGATGAAAACAAATAAAAATATATCTAAAAATCAACAGCATGCCATGCGAAATTCCATGCTAAAGATCATTAGGAAAGGAACTGAAGATAAAAGCTGCACCTGTTATAATGCTGTTATGCACATGGAAGGAGCGACTGCATTTGCAATACTGGTCACCTCACCACAAAAAGAATATTGTGGACTTGGAAAAGGTTCAGGAAAAAACCAAAATGACCAAGGGGTTGGAGCAACTTCTCTCGAATGAAAGGTTGGAGCATTTAGTTGATAAAGATGGCAAGAGGCGGCGTGATACGAACTTTATAAGATTACGGATGGCCTAGAGAAAGTGGATGGGGGGGAATGTGAAGGGCTTCCAGTGAATCTGAATTAAACTATGGAACACACTCCCACAAGAGGTGGTGATGGTTGATATTTTCACCCCCTCCCATTGCGAGAATGTCCTGATCTGATGTTTTGAGAAAGGAGGGGGTGGAAACTGCTCTTCTATCTTCCACTCCTGACTGACTGCCTGACTCTGTGTGTGGAGAGTCTTATCTATGTAGTGACTAGATGGTTGAGTGGGAGATGTAACGCTCATGCAAGCCAGTAGTGTTTTAGTTTGTAGACGCTATTAGAAATCAAAGGAGTTATGCTTCACAGCTAGCTTCCGCGTTATTTATACTCTGCTGAATCTGGTGCTCACAATGCACAGTTGTGGGTCCAGTGCACTGGGACCTGTTTTCCAGGATTGGAAGGTCTCTGAAAGTGCTCCAGTCGCCTAGCCCAGTCAGGGCAGAACCAGTTATTGAGCCCAGTCGCTGACATCGGTTGAAAGGCGTACTGACAGTGATGGCCAACAACTGGGATGGCTTTAGCAGAGGACTGGGCTAAAATAGCCTGGATAACTCAGTGGTTAGAGCATTGTTTCCCAACCTTGGGTCTTCAGCTGTTTTGGGACCACAACTCCCATCATCCTTAGCTAGTAAGACCAGTTGTCAGGGATGATGGGAATTGTAGTCCAAAAACAGCTGGAGACCCAAGGCTGGGAAACCCTGGGTTAGAGCATGGTGCTCATAATGCCAAGGTTGTAGGTTAGATCCCCGCATGGGACAGCGGCATATTCCTGCATTGCAGGGGCTAGATGCTCCTCAGGGTCCCTTCCAACTCTACAGTTCTATGATTCTGTAAAATTGCTTTGAGATGCTGCAGGAAAGTGATTAATAAATGAAAGAATAGTAGAATCCTCTCTATTTCGCATTGTGCGGAGGCAGGAGGTGGGGGATACAGATCTTTCTCAAAACTGCATTTAAAGAGTTCCTGGTGTTTATGTTTATGTGTTGCTATTCTTCAGGTTTCAGCCCCCTCCTCTAGAAGTTCAACTCTGAAAAGAGTCTTGGAGATGGGATCATGGCCGCATCTATTCCTGTCTCCAGCTAAAGATACAGTGTGCAGGCTGCTCTTTCATGTGCTGCAGCTGGCGAGTTCGTTTTGAGCTGCTGATGACATATTATAGGACAATTATGTATTTCTGGTGTCTCTTAAACCATAAATACCCACCCCCTTTCTTCCTTTGCCTCTCTATCAATGCAGGCCAGGCTACCACTGAGCGAATTAATACGGCGCACAGCAGGCAGAGTGGAAGCTAACGTGTAATTGTGTGCCTGTGTGGGTGGGCGAAGGAACGAGTAAACAAATGTGTACATCTGGAGCAGCCCAGACTTCCCACGGGGAGCACTGCCTTGCTTGGAGGTGCATTTCATTGTTCCCCCATTGGCCAGTTGTTGCAGGCATGCACCTGACACAGGTGTGGGTCCTTGGGCCCCATCTCTAAATTTGTGTGAGCAATGAGATGGAACTGGTCTGGCCTGCAGCAAAAGGCCACAACAAAATGGTGCTTCATAGCTTCAGCCAGCCACCCCGTTTTCCAGAATCACTCCGTTCCATTTCCCCTCTCCACAGCTTTCGGTTTCCCTTTCCTCTCAACAGTTAGCCATCGGTCCCTGCGCTTGGAGCATGCTCAGTCTCTCTGGGCTGAGAGGTCCCCAACTGATGCCTCACACTTCCCCATAGATGATGTCATTTTGGCTACTGAAGGATCGGCTCTTAGAGAATGAGTTTGCTGTTAAAATACAACAGGGATGTGAATAGCCTGCAGGATCAACCTTATACAGTCATACCTCAGGTTACAGATGCTTCAAGTTATGCGTTTTCGGGATACGGACGCGCTGAAACCCAGAGGTACCGGAACGGGTTACTTCCGGGTTTCAGCACTCATGCATGCGCAGAACCACCAAATCACGCTTTGCGCATGGGCAGAAGCACCGAATCGCAACCCTTGCGTGCACAGACGCGGTGCTGTGGGTTGTGGACACTGCGGGTTGCAGACATACCTCCCGCACGGATCACGTTTGCAACCTGAGCGTCCACTGTAACTGAAATTTTTAAGAGATTCTGATCTTGTTATGCACTGAAGTTCTCAGCTGGGCCAGCAGGGGGATACTGTAGATAGTTATGCAAATAAGGGATCGAAAGTGACGTTCAGTGATTGGATAGTTTTAGAAAATTGTTACAGTTACATTGTACCGGAGCTCTATATAAGCAGGCTGACTGAACCCTTCAGTTCAGTTCTGTCCTGGCCTGTGAATAAACAAGAGCCGTTTAAAGAATCGCTGTGTCGTCTGATATGTTCACCCACAACTTAACAGATCTGTTTCTAAATTGCTTTGTTCTCTCTCTGCTTCTGCTTTTAATTACCAGTCTCTGCTTCCACAGCAGGTGCTGTGATTCTCCAGTGGTTTGACGTCACCCCTAGAGATGCACTCCATTGTCTTTTGAGACAGACAACTGCCAGCAACAAATCTTGCAAGGAGGGCATGTGCCTCACCTTGGTTGTAAGCCTGGCTGGGCATGATAACTTGTTGGGACGACTTCACTGATTTCAGACAGTTTTGAGCTTTGGGTTTCTGACTGCTATACCAGCATACTCTGTTTTACTCACAAGTAAAAGACTCTGCTATCATGTCTGGGGTGGGAGCCAGGACACTCAGAAGTATCTCTACTGTAGGGGATCCTGACAGGCCCTCTCTCCACAAAATATCTGGTTAAGTGCCTGTCATAGGTGAATAAAATAAAATCTGGAGAGAAAATGGGGATTATACCACTGCTTCTCATTAATCTGAAAACAGGCAGAGCTTATGTGCGCACCAGGTTTTCCCTGAGGAGTTTCCCAGCGATGTTGATGTATTAACCTGATGTACTGATTTTTGATACATTTTGGATTTAGTTTTATGGATGAAATTTTATTATTGATTTCATGCTGCTCACTATGATTTTCTTCTCTTAGGGTGGTACTCAGCTAAGTTCGATTCAGAGCAAACCCATTCAAATTAACTGAGTCATGTACATCATTTTCAGTGCGTCTACTCTAAGTAAAACTTAGCTGACTAGCACTCTTAAATGTTGGCAGTATAGACACTGGGGGGGGGACAGTGAGTGTTGGGGCTGCATGCACACGATCAGGAATCCTGCAAAATGGAAGGTCCCCACCCCATCACACAGAGTGAGGCTCTTCACACACAGCTTGTATGCACCTTGCCTTGGTTCCCAAATCAAAATCAAGGAAAGAAGTACTAGGGGTGCCTGTGGACCCATGCAGCTTGGGTACACATAGGGTACAGCAGGGTTTTCCAGATGTGTGTTTTGGGACTACAGTTCCCATCATCCCTGACCCCTGGTCCTGTTAGCTGGGGGTCACCAGTGTCGAAGCAATGATTCTTCAACACCAGCTTCATTGGATTGGTCATGCTGTGCAGATGCCTGATTGTAGTCTTCCAAAGCAACTACACTATTCCCAACTTAAAAATGGAAAGCGTAATGCTGGTGGTCAACAGAAGAGCCTTAAAGACTCTCTCAAGGCAAATCTTTTAAAATGTAGTATAATCACCGACAACTGGGAAACACTGGCCTGCAAGCGCTCCAATTGGAGAACAGCCTTTACCAAAGGTGTCATGGGCTTTGAAGACACTCGAACTCAGGATGAAAGGGAGAAATGTGCTAGGAGGAAGGTACGCTTGGCAAACCCTCACCATGATCAACTCCCGCCTGGAAACCTATGTCCCCACAGTGGAAGGACGTGGGGATCCAGAATTGGCTTCCACAGTCACTTATGGATTCAATTTCGCCAGCTCAGCATATTCCACCATCTTTGTCTGCCAGTCCTGGATCGTTGGTAAGTCTTGTCGCTTCCATCTCTGTACGGATAAAACTCCTGCTGCGACAGTTGCATACCTAAACAGTTTTTGGTCTTTCTTGGGTATTACCTCGCTATTATTCCTAATAAAAATGCTTCTGGTTTCCTAACAAATGTACTAAGTAAAAAAAATTATTAATGAGTTTTGCTGTTTGCAGTCCAACCTAGCTCATTGAATAAAGCATTATGATGCTTCTCAACTGGGATGAATCTAATTCAGCAACAATAGCTGTTATAGCAAAAACAGTGAAACGTTCTCTTTGTGATATATTTATATATATATATACACATACACAGCTCAGTATGTGCACTTCACAGATTGACAGGGTGCGCTTTTATGAAATTTCAGAAGGATGGAAGCAAGGCGAGGCAGGGGAGGGGAGGAAAGCAATAAAAATGCTTTGATAAAGTGAAATTCCCTCCCCCCCGCCCCAAGCTCCCTTCGCCTCTCTTTGCAGCCTGCAATAAACTCTCTCCCCCCAGCAGAGGTTATGGAAGACCTGAAGTGAGAGAGAATGAGTGGCTTATGAAACATACTAAGAATGAAAAATCATTGGGGGGGGGGTGGAGACAGAGAGGTAGAATTTATAAATCCAAAGGGGACTTTTGTTGCAGGTTTTCAGGTACCCTGAGCTAACTCTCTTTTGTTTTAAAGTGACAGGGCAAGGTCTTGTCTGATCTTTGCTGGGGATTTATTTGACTCTCATTCCTCGCCTCTAGCGCTCTGTAAAGGTATGTATTGCTTTGGTAGCATCACCGCTGTCTGCCACACAAGGTGTTTGGGGGTTTTTTATTGCAAATTTCAGCATCCCCCCCCCCTTTGGGCATATTTTCACAGCCATGGATCTGAGATTAGGAGAGATTTTGCTGACTGCGTTATTCCAACAAAAAGGAAGGCACGGGATTTCCCCCCCTCCCCGAGCGCCAATAGCCTTGCAAAGGAGTGCTTGTAATTCTGACAACCTTTCCCATCCCCACCCCCCTTTTACCTGGGTGGTTTCATATTTGAAAAGTGATCAGTTGGCCAGGGCCGGTTATGGAGAGCATATGACGACCCTTGTGGCAATAGCTCCCCTTGCTACTAGTCTGTTTCCAGGCACAATTCGAAGTTCAGCTTAGGATATATAAAGCCCTACGTGGCTTAAGTCCAAGCTATCTGAAAGAGCCTATTCCCTCGGATGAACCTGCCCTTTTGAGATCTTTGAAGGAGGCCCTTCTCTCAGTCCCGCCACCCTCACAGGGACACTTGGTTGTGGTGGGATAGGAGAGGGCCTTCTCGGTGGTGGCTCCCAGACTTTGGAACTCCCTCCCTAGAGAAGCCAGACTGTCTCCGTCCTCGTTGTACTTCCACCAGCTGATGAAGACTTCCTGGTTCCAACTGGCTTTGGGGAACTGACTGTCGCAAATTCTCCACGGCACTTTAGCAGAAATGCTCAGAGTTCCAGGTTCTTCAGTGCAGTGCAGTATATTTATTGTGAGCTATATATACACAAACATATGCAATAATCTACAGGCTATAATAAACGAGCAGTTCAAACAGAGTACCTGGCTGCACCTTAAGGCAAAAAGGAAAACCTTTTTATCTCTCTATCTCTCTCTGACCACACTCTTCTACACCACCCACTTACTGCTGGACAGGTTTCCCTTTTAAACCGATGACAGCCAATCAACTGACAGCACATTGCTGCTGAGTTTTTCCGACCCAGCACTTCCATAGGAAGTATTGCAGGCTGATTGCATCAGCCAGTTGCATCAGCTAGCAAACTCAAGCCTGCAGACTT